CGCGCACGGCGCTGCGCACCCTCTGCGTCCTCACCGCGCGGGCCACGGCTCGGCCTAGGGGCTTTGGGGGAGCCGGACCTAGCGCCCAGGGAGAGGCGCAGCCCTACTTTGTTACTCTGAGGTGTTGCACCATTTTTTTACTTTTCCCAGAGAATTGCAGAGCGCTTTCAAGTGTTAGAGAACGAGGGCTTTTACGGCTGATGAAGGGTATATAACTATTACTGTAAAGGTGAACACAGAGAATTTAAATGACTGTGTCGTCAAGGCTATATAGGAAATCTTTGGGACAACACAGATTTCTCAGTCTTGCAGGCAAAGCACTCTCTTTTATCACAGGGCTTATTTTCCCAGGTAAAACACTGCATCTTCCCTCCAGAGAAGCCTTACAAGACTAAATGAACTATTTGATTATTTGGCAATACCTGTGACCATCTCACTATGCCTCAGGACTCAGACAGCTTCTTACACTGGACCAAAACCAGGAATTAAAGTATACAATGAAAGAAAAAGCAGAGGGTAAAACTCTGATCGTGGTACAGATAATGGGTTTTCCACTGATTTTTATGAGACCAGGATTTCACGCAGAGAAAATACTGAATTCAATTCTGAACAGAAAGAATTGTCTACCCTGGAGTCAGTTTATTACTGTACCCAATAGTATCCATGGGCACAATGGTTCTGATCCTCTTCTCAGTCACACGGGTATAAATCGGTTATAAGTCTATCTAAACTCATAAAGTTGCAACAGTTTATATAAGAGCAAAATCAAGTGCTGTGATCTGTTTTCCCTTAATCTCTTAATTAATCTTAGTTTTCATTGATAAGTATGTTCACAAGCAGTTCAAATCATTAGTAATGCTGAACACAAGCATGCAGTACTACTGCCTGATTCAGCTGTTTGTTGAAGTTAACAAAGTATGCGTTATCATGAATACAAATAATGCCCACTGTTCACCATTTTTTCTTGCAGTAACACTTAAGAGGTCATCTGATTTTTCTTCCCTTGCATCTCAAAATTAATTTGAACCAGCATCCTAGGTAAAGGTGAAGGAGAAAGGCTGCCTTGAAATTAGATTTAAAAAAAAACAACAAACACAACAAAAAAAATGTAGACTCACTAGTTTCAATCCTGCCAAGTGCTCAGTGCTTCTGGGGAGATGTGACCACCTTTAAACCCAGCTGACCCCAGCCTGAAATGCTGAGCAATGTGCTGCTGCTCAGCCAGGGGAGAGCCATGAAAAAAGGGCCTGATACCATGATTTAGATAAAGGCAACACTGGTACTGACTTGACGAAAGCTTCTGTCAGGAAACAAAAGAGAAATGCAAGCTCTTACTGGTAAACAAATAAAGTGCACTGATTTGTGTGCCTGGTCAGATACCGTGCTGGGGGTGGTGCTTGCCTCTGACATTCCCCAAAATGAAAGTTTAATATGTATTGCATTCATTCTTGCTTTTTCCTTGGTGATAATGTAGCACAGAATCCAAAATTTCTAAGACCACACATGTTTCAGGCATATGGGGAAGAACAAACAACTCAGAGCTCCTTAGTGTTATGTAACATAAGCAGATGATAATATAGATATGAATTTTGATGGGCTTGGAATTATGTAAGCTACAAACATACTCTGGATTTTAATCCTCTGCCTGTGCACTCTTCACTTACATGAGTAAATTCCACCAGAGTCAGTAAGCCTACTCTTGTGAGTAAGTCACCTGCATAAGGGATACCTTGAAGGATCAAGTCCTAAATTACACATATTAAATAAAATTTTAAAAATACATTCAGAAATAACCTGAAGTTGGTAATACCAAGACTGGGGAAACTCATTCTTTTCCCTCTGTTAGCATCTGTCTTTCCAAGTCTAGGCAATTCTGTGAATTAATATAGCAATTTTTGCTTGCTTGTTTTTTTCCCCAAACCCTCTCTTGGGGTTATTAATAGAGGAAAAGGCAGAATTCATGACATCACAAGGATTTCTATAAGGATAAATCTGTATAATTATACAATGGCAACTGACAGCTTTTCAGCTACATGTTTTCCAAAATCGGATCATAGATATCAGTATATGAGTATGTATAAAACACACTCATCTCTTCAAAATTTCTGCCAAATTTTTGTGGTGTATCTGTTAAATCTGTAAGGTATAAGGATATTTCAAAGTTGGCTACCGTCTGAAAATTACAATCAAAACACTCCACCTTTATCATTATGGTTGCTTTCATAGCATTATTTACTATTTGTTTTTCTGCCATAGCCCGTTTTGGGTGACTTATAACCTCATCATGTGATTTTAGACCGGATTATGATTTGGTTTCTTTTTATATCCTGTAATATCACCTGACCAGTATCAGTGGGTGACAGCATAATTAGATTAGAATTGGATACACTTCTCTGAAGCAGCTGCATCATTGTTGTGCTAAGTAGGGCAAATGCATTAGTTATATTTACAATTTGATGATTAATTGTCTTCAGAGAGTTCCTCCAAAATGGAGGAACTCAGGCAGAAACATGAATGAAACCTGCTTTTATCAGTGAGTTTCAGCCTACAACAGTTAGTACACTTGTTCTCCGTGAAAGTTACTTTGCTAGATTTGATGTGACATTTTTTCTGCTGTCAGAATACTTCTGGGTTGTTTTCAAGGTTTTGTTTATTGCTTGCTTGTTTTTTCTCA